AGATTCAAGACTGTTGTTGCTTCTTGCTTTTCAGATTTGCCAGAGGCAACATTTTCACTCTGACTTATATACTGGAATGAAGTTCATCTATCACTATTGTTAGAAAAGAAAAAGCACTCGGTACCCAATTCTGTTTATGTACGCAGGGGAAAGTGGAGTTGCTTCCACAAGACATTTTCAAAAAAAAGGATTCAAATTTCTTTGATGCCATTTGGCTTGTCAGATTTATGGAAATAGCCAAAGTGGAGACTTCCCTGTTTTCAGTAGAGCATTCATATGGCATTTTATGTAACATAGTATGAAGAAATATTCCAGAGTATAATTAACAAGTCATTGAGGAAATGAATTTGAGAAAAAAATGTACTTTGCTGATTTAAAGAAAATGTATAACAAAAATGATGGAATGTTTTGAGCAAGGACAGGTAGTTCTCACTTAGCGATGATGATTGGGCTGTTACATAATTATAAAGCAGAAAATCACGACCGCGTTGACTTAAAATGGCATTATTAAGCAAATCACCCACAATTGTTAAACCAGATGACATGTGACAGCGAGTCACAACATCCCCCGCTGACATTGCTTGTTGAAGCTGGGAGTGAAAGTCACAAAAGGTGATTTACATGATTGCAGGATGCTGCATCTGTCATAATTGTGTGCCAGTCACCAAGCGTCCAATTGCAATTTGACTGCAAGAACATTGCAATGGCTGAAACCTCAAGGACCAATCATAAATCCTCTCATTCAGCACCACTATAATCTCAAACTGTTACTAAACAAGTGGCCATTAAATGAGGATTGCCTTTAGAGGCAGAGGCTTGGCTGCAGAGTTCAATAAGAACAGTATAGGATGGAAGTAAGCATGATAATAAATAAAAAGGCTAGCAATTTTTTCAACATTGAGGGAATAAGGTCATATCCCCTTGAATGCTTAATAACAAACGTTTCTCATGTTAAAAGTGTTTGGTTGGCAACATGAATGGATGTGAATTTTTGAATGCAGATGATGCCATGTTGTTGGGTGAAGAGCCCAAATGGTTTGCAGCAAATGTTAGATTGTGAGATGTCACATGGAACTGTGGACTAATGCATTGAAGTCCAGAGTACTTGTGTTTGACAGCAAAAATGGAATAAATAGATGTAGGATATGAGTAACCAGTAAAAAAAGCCTGAACATGTAGATGAATTTCTGTACTTTGGTAAAGTGTTTACTAAGGATGAAACGATCAATGGAGAACAGGTAAGATCTGCAAATGCTGTTAGATGGGGGTATTATGCGGTGTGTGATGAAGAATGAATGTCAAAAGAGAAAATAAGTATGCATAATAATATGCTTTTGTCCAAGTAGAAGTCAGAGTTGGATATGCCAGAAACATAGAAGTAAGTTGAAGTCATTGAGAGTGGGGTACATCAAAAAGCTGTAGAGTAAAACATGAAGAACTAAGGTAAAGACTTGCTGTATGAATGCAGTTTGAATATGAAAGAAAGTGACCCATATGAAAGTATGTTGAGGTAATATGACATCAATCCTTCAGGACAGGATGGGTCAGGAAACGGACATTTCAAGGATAGTTGTTGGAAGGTATAACCCAGTGGTGGGATTCAGCCAGTTCGCACCTATTCGGGAGAACCGGTTGGTAACTTTCTAAGTAGTTCAGAGAACCGGTTGTTGGAAGAAATCTCCTTTTGTTTTTTTCCACTTTACAGGGCTAATCCTGTAAGGAAGGCAGGAAGGAAACATTCTGGTGTTGTTTCTAGCCTAATCTTTATTGACCTGCTTATAGAAACTGCCTCTCCGGTTAACCCCTATTACATTGTAACAGCTAAGGTGAAGAGCCCATCGACCTGAGTGACCTTGAGTTGGCCATGCCCACCCAGTCACATGACCACCGAGCCCCACTTACCCAGATGGTCATTAGGGCAGAGAACTGGTTGTTAAATTATTTGAATCCCATCACTGGTATAACCATAGAATCTTTAAACAACTGCTATATTTCCCTTTGCTACATTTTAGACCAGACAGAATCAAGGTGAAATTAACCAAGGTTATCCTTATATATTTTCCTTTGACCAGATAGAAAAATGAGGATTGGGTTGCAAAATCTGACATATGAAAGAACAATAAGTGGGTTGAAAGGTAAAGAAAGACTGAGAAAGTTTTGGCTGGGATGAAGTTGATCAGATTGTGAAAAAGAGAGGAGCGAGAAGGTTAAAGAACAAAAACCCATCTGTGAAGTAGATGCAGAAAAGGTCAGGGTGGTTGGCAAACTCAGAATGGTTTAGATAAGTGTGGTGCAGGTAGTCTTCAACTTACGACTGGTCGTTTAGTGACTATTTGTAGTTACGATGGACATCCCATAAGGTACTTACAGCCTGGATTTAAAGTTCTGATAGCCACCCCCTAATGGTCATGTGACTGCATTTTGGGTGCTTGGCAATTGGCATGCATGTATGGCTGTTTGCCAGGGCAAACAATGGGTTCACTTTATGACTGTGGCATTTGTTTAACAACTGCTGCAAAAAAGGCAGTAAAACCAGATACAATCATGTGATGACCCACTTAATGACTTGAGTGACTTATATGACCATAATTGCAGGTTTAATTATGGTTATACATTGGGGCCAGATACATGTAAAATAAACATAGTTTTAGCTATGCTTCAATTTCTTTTTTTTCGGTTCAAAAGTTTTCTTTTAAAACAAACATTTCATCATTCCTCAATCAGTAAAACATCGAAGTACAATTTTTTTGTATGCACCTCCCTCCCTCAACCCCCCAACCCCCCTCCTCCTCCCCCTCCCCGACTTCCCAGAACCCGTTCACGGTATGGATTTTTAACAAACACAGTCTAAAATCTATTGAGAAAAAAGAAACAAAGAGATTAATGACATTCTACATTGACCTTAGCTTCTTCTTGCTGAACTAACTTTAAACAATTTAAATCATTTCTGATCTTAAGCATAGGCTAACTGGAATTTCTTGGTCCCGTATTTATTTTGCATATAGTCAATCCATTTTTTCCAGTCTCGTTTATATCTCTCATTTGAATGATCTTTAAGATATGCCGATATTTTAGCCATCTCGGCTAAATTTGTAACTTTCAATGTCCATTCTTGAGTTGTAGGCAAGTCTTCCTTCTTCCAGTATTGCGCCACCAACAGTCTTGCTGCCATTATTAGGTACAGAATCAAAGTTAGTCTCTACCACTGTAAAGTCAGTACACATACCTAGTAAGAATAACTGAGGAGTAAACTTTATCCTTCTTTTAAAGATATTTTGCATAATCCACCATATTTGCTTCAATTTCTTTTTGTCATCACATTACTATTTCTTATTCCTGTTCTGTGGTCTGCAAAATAGTGCATTAATGCAAGCCAGTGGGTGAGAAGGAGGCTAAATATGTTGCAAAAACAGGCTTGCCACATCAGAACCAACAGAGTTGGCATGCTCCATATCCCTTCCGTTAGGAAATGTCACTGTGTGGGAACTACAGGTTAGGTCTCTGTTGCAATGTTTGCCCTATGGAACAATATCAACCAGAGGTGCTGATGGCTCTGACCTTTCTCATTCTTCTTAAAACTTAAAAGACCTGGATGTTACCTCAGGTATTTGGGCAGGAAGGTTAAACCAGTCCTGCCAATGGATTTATTTGTTTTTCGTATTTATTGATTGAAAATAAAAATGTTTTTAGAACCCGGATGTATGTCATTTTATTATCATTGCCATTTTTAACCAGTACTTGGGTTTCTTTATTTTGCATACCATGTTCTGTTTTTTAACTTCTAATCCCCTGAGTGCCAAGTGGTTTATGTAAATAAATGCTACAGGAAAACTGGTGAAAGCCACTGCAAAATCTGCGTCATAGCTAAGGATAAACTCAGATCTGTTCACCACACTAAAACGTTTTGAGTGCCGAGGTGGCGCAGTGGTTAAATGCAGCACTGCAGGCTACTTCAGCTGACTGCAGTTCTGCAGTTCGGCTGTTCAAATCTCACCGGCTCAGGGTTGACTCAGCCTTCCATCCTTCCGAGGTGGGTAAAATGAGGACCCGGATTGTTGTTGGGGGCAAGATGACGACCCGGAAAACCCCTAAAAAAGGCCGAAAACCCCAAGAAACCGGAAAAAAAGCCAACTGCTATTGCTATTGCTATTGAGTGGAAAATTCTGAAACAGTTTCTTACTTGTATTTTCCAAATAAGGAATACACAGTAATTTGCTGGCATGCTTAGTCATGGATTATTTAACCAGGTTTTGATGGCTAAGCCACAATTTGGTGCGCTCATAGATCAGATTCAGCCACAAGCAAGAATTCACCATTGCATAGGCTGCCTTCAGACTCTGCCCAATTTTTATGGGCTCCACAGAGTTTCTTAAGATTATCTGTCAACATTCAACTGTAAATCAGTTAATTTTCTGTGTTTCTATTTCTTAAAAAAGACTAAAACATTCTCTATTCAGTGTCTGATAGATTTAACATATCCACTTTGCTTTCAGCTGACCAACATCTTCAAATATGGCCTGGACAGGGAACCAATTTCACTGTAGCTGAAGAGAGAACATGGCCCTGTAGAAAAGGACATAGAGCATAAAGTTCTATCAGAATTCAAATATTTATGTTCTATGTTGTAAGTTGCCAGTTGCTAACATCGACTCTGGTTTTCAAGGCTTCGTAGCTGTTTTATGCAACACAAGCACCCAATCCAAAGCCAATACACAATGTGAAAAGATTTCTTAACGTTGTATACAGTCTATAAATCCAAGGGCCAAATTTAAAAATGGTTTTACATTGTGCCTCCAATGAGGCAGCTAGCTTGTGGCCAATGCATCCTATTTGGAAGCTGTCCATTCTCTGTAAATCCAGCTCATTTGAGCACCCAGGTCATGTTGTTTTTTTCTGCAAGATGCATTTGAGGCATTTGCAATTCAGACAGAATTATTTGTTTTGGGCTTCCTGGAAGAGTGTAGTGAGTGTTGCAGTGTAATACATTTAGTCAGGAGATAGGCGGCTGATATACACACAGAGAGACCTTTGCCTCCAATCGCTGCTTCAACCGAGGCATGTTTTACAGCTCTACTGTTTGTTCAGTGTTACTAGGCCAAATATAGCAAAAAGGTTAAAGGAAACAAAGATTAGGTTCCATTGCTGACATGTTGGAAGATTATTGTGAGAATTCTCCTCGCGTTGGGGCCAAGTTACTTGTTACAGAATTGTAAGTAGGATAATCCTAAAAAAAAACCTTTCTTATGCATTTTTCACTTTAAGAGGTGGCGGGGAGGAAGAGAAATTATTTTTCCTGCTATTCATTCCCAAATACAGGACTTTGAATCCTGCAGAAGTGTGCGTGTGAGAGAGTTTAAGGGCAGCGAGTGCAATAGGCTATCTTCTCATAATGTCATGTTTACATTGCCTTGAAGTTACAGCAAAGACCCTTGAAAATCCCTTAAGAACTGGACGTTCCTTTTTCCAAACAGATCTAAGTAATTGAACACTCTTACTTAATTCAGTTTTGTTTATTTTATGTTTAACATTTGTTAGCCCGTTCAGGAAACCATGCTGCTTAAAATACCATGTGAAACAGGCTATGGCTGGGTGATTCAAGAAACCTTTTTTTGTTGAAAGAAACAGTAATTTCCCTTCCTTTAATCTGATAGTTTCATCTGTTAACTTTAGAAATGAAAGCAGGTGATATGTGTGCAAAATGTTTAGCTTTTTTTAAAAAAATAACCCGTGGTTTTTTTTTTGTTTGTTTGTTTGTTTTTGAATGGCAGGAATATGATGGCTCAATCAGATTCAGATTTCGTGGAAGAGGAATCACTAAAGAAGGATTTAAAGTTCTACTTTATGAATCCATGTGAAAAATACAGAGCTAGACGTCAGATACCATGGAAATTGGGGCTTCAGATTCTGAAGATAGTTATGGTTACTACCCAGGTAACATTTTAAAAGATGCTCGTGTTACTTTATTGGGGATTCGCATATATGAAATGGCAAATGAATGAATGCCTAGTAGATTTGTTGTTTCTTGTTTTATTCAGTTTAAATACAGATAACTAGATCAATTGTGGGTAGAAAAATAAATGAATTGTCATACTTTGAATCCTTGTACCACTTGACCCGTCATGTGTATTGTTAACTTGCGTCACAAGAATTACAAAATTAACCATTCATTCAGGAAATGATTTTTGAATCAAGGCCCACTGGAAAAAATTAATAGGGCTGACTTGTTATTAATGTAATTATTATATCTTTGTACATCAGTTAACTTCCGAACACTGATGAAAATATGGAATATAATCTTTAACTGACTGAACTCATATTTCACTCTTTCCCCCACTTTTCTCTTTCTCTGTCTCTCATGGGGGAGAAGTTCAGTAGTGCCCCATCTTGAAAAGACCTTGAATACAGATAGCCTTCGACTTACAACAGTTTATTTAATGACCGTCCAAAGTTACAACAGCACTGAAAAAACTTATTTATGACAGTTCTTCACTTTACACTGTTGTCAATGGTCACATGATCAAAATTTGGACACTTGATAACTGGTTCATATTTATGACCAGTTAAGAGCTGTGGGGGCACAGTGGTTAGAATGCAATACTGCAGGCTACTTCTGCTGACTGCCAACTGCTAGCAGTTCGAGTCTCACCGGCTCAAGGTTGACTGGCTTCCATCTTTCCGAGGACGGTAAAATGAGGACTCAGATTGTTGGAGGTAATATATTGACTCTGTAAACCACTTAGAGAGGCCTGTAAAGCACTATGAAACGGTATATAAGTCTAAATGCTATTGCTATGACAGTTGCAGTATCCCGGGGTTCATATGATCAGCTTTTGCAACCTTCTGACAGGCAAAGTCGCAAAAGCTGACAGCTACAATGATTCACTTAATAAAGTAAAGTTGTAAAATGGGGCAAAAGTAACTATCACTCAGCAACAGAAATTTGGGGCTCAATTCTAGTCATAGGCCGAAGACTACCTATGATATTGAACAGATTCATTGTCGAATGTTTGCAAAAGCACCATCTCTTTACATTTACATTACATCTTTACACTTTGCAAACAATATTGGAGATGCCAGAGATAGTACTTTAAACTTGCATAGTCACACTGGGAACTCAGTCAGTTTCTAGGTTAAAGTGTGTAAAGGCAAGAGTTTGCTCTGTGTATTGGACAACCCCTGTACTATCTACCTGCTAGCCTAAATGTCTATTTCTGATATTCCTTGAGTGTGAAGACAGAGGTTGCTCAACCATTTTGCTTTCATTTATAAAAACTTGGAAGGGATCTGAAGATGAGAAAAAGAAATGCCTCTTCCATATAATGTAAATTAATGGGTGTCCTTCAGTTTATTTAGGAGATTAAGATTAAATGGGTGTTTTTATTCAGTGGCATACTACATATGCTTTGCATGTTGACTCTAAGTATTTCATGTTTAAGCAACTATAGCTCTTTATTAAATTCCATTTCAAAACCTGGTTTAAAGTGATTTCCCTAACCAGAATAATGCATTGGAAACAAATCATATATAAAGAGATGAGGATTGAAGTGATGAAGGAGTAATTTGTATCTTTTCACCTGCTAAATTAGGGGTTGGCAAACTCTGAGAGGGGCGCATTCTGTGTTTCTTCCTTATTGAGGGGAATCCATGAGGATGTAGCCAGTAACATAATTCTGTAAGATGGAATGTTCAAACTTTTTTGGATGGATTTTGGAAATGGGTAAAGCAGAATGCATAAAGAAAAATGGAAAGTTTGCCACTTAAATATTTAGATTTTGGACACCTGTAACTTAACAACAACAACAACAACAACAAGGTTCAAAATTTTCAGTGTAGAACTTTCCTTTTCTGGAAAGTTCTTTGAAACACACAAATGTTGGGGGCTTACACGTTGCCTGTATTAAATCACGATTTAGCAAGCTAGGATGCTTATATCAAAAAGTACCTGCCATGGCACCTGATTTAGGATGTATTACATAAAATAATTTATCTCTTGCTTTTTTTCCCCTTCTCTTAAAGCTTATACTTTTTGGTTTGAGTAACCAGTTGGTGGTTTCTTTTAAAGAGGAGAATACTATAGCTTTTAAGCACCTGTTTCTGAAAAACTACTCTGGGGTCGATGAAGATGACTACAGTTGCAGTGTGTACACACAGCAAGATGTCTATGATAGCATCTTTTTTGCAATTAGTCAGGTAAGTGTCTACCTTTGGTATGGGTATATGAGTGAAAAACGTGCACGCATTTGACTAGAAATGGAAATGCTAATATGGTCAATTCAATGGACAACTGAATGTGAGAATTGAGAATGTGGTATTTATTTGATTTAAAGGCTGTTCAACTCCATGTTTCTATTGAATCCCAACGTGAATCTGAGATTCAATGCAGAGATATAAAATCTCTGGGATTATGCCTTTTGTATGTCCTAATAATTTAACACAACACTTACTTCTTTAGAAGTGAAAATTGTAAATTCATGTGCCATGTGCTTGCCCAAAGAATACGCTAAATAGTGGCCATCCTTGTGAAGGCTGTAGCTACATATATCCAACACTTTTGCCACAGGAAAATAACAATTGAATTCTTTAAAAATGTGGCATTCTTTTGTTACTCTTCATGGTAGCCTTTTCCAAAAGGAAGTTTTTAAAATTCACAGATTTGCTTCTAAGTAAATGTGTAACTGGGCAAAAGAGTTAATGAATACCAAACAATTAATACAATAACTTTATATTAACAGGTTCTGCAAGTTTAGTTTGACAATAAATGAAATGTTTTCAAAGCTAATTTCAAGCTTATTGTTTAAATCTGTGTTTTTGGATGTCTTATAATCCTAGTTGAGGCTACAAAAAAAAAAGAGTATTTCTTCTTTTGTTTGCATCTAGTATCAGCAGCTGGAGAATATATCACTGGGCACACTCGGTTATGAGCAAGATGAAGATGACATGGCTGGCTTACACATATGTAAGCAACAATATAAGAAAGGCACAAAGCTTTCTTCTAATGATACATTGCTCATAAACAGTACTATTGAAACAGGTACTTTGGAATCAGCACTATAACTGTAGCTGTCCATTTGATATTTGTATGGTTTTCAAAACTTGGGGGCAAAACTTATAGTTAGTCTCTGATTTCAGGTTTGCCCATAGCATACACTAAAGCTCTCTTCTCTCTTGTGTAGTAGAATGTTACAAAGGATATAATCATTTGCCTTGGCAGCCCAAAGGCCCCTTGTCTGTAAATAAAGCAAGAGCTTTACTGTCAGGATGCCACAAAACTAGGTTTTACAGTTTTTACAAGTTATAACATAGTTCATATTTTGATATGACATGCTGCGTGCCTTAAGTCTATGCCATGGTTTGCTTTAGGAAACTATTATACAGTTTGAAATAAAGCATTTTTCTTAGGTTTCTAATGGCCTGGTGATGATTTTATATAGTTCCTGGTTAATTTTGGTCCTCACCAAAGTCTCTAATTAAGAAATACAAGGCACTCTATGTTAAAAAAAATGTGTGTGGGTAGGTGATAAACCAGACATTAACTTTCCAAGCCATGATTGAATTGCTGATCTGAAAGTCTGACTCTGGCTTTTTCATTAAAGATTGGTTAGTTTGATTTGTTTTTTAACTTAACAAACTGGATGTGAGCCAAGCTTTTTTGCCAGTATTTTCCCTCCTGGTACACTGTGCCTTGGTGAAATACGGAAATATAAATTAACCCCCAATTCCTGTCTACCTGAATTGAGGAACTAGGATAATTTGTTTGAGAACTGAACAGGAAATTTAACCACAGTTAAATTCAGTGTTCAAGCTCGCTTAAAAGTAAAATTGAGCAATCTTTAGGCAATCAGAGGACACATTTTTATATTATTCTTTTTCTTCAGTGTGGAGATAGATTGGTGATATAATGCATCTCACATGTTTTGGATTAGTTTTATTTTGAAAATCAGGAAATTGCAGCTCTGTGATTTAACTATTTGCCAGATCAGTTGCAGACATAGGAGTCTACTTGTGGCATGTACATTGACTATTTCTGTTTTGGGGTCTTTCCTTGTTCCAGAATTGATAATTTTAGTGTCCAAATTTTGAAAAAATGGGAGCTTACATTTCCCATAGCTGAAGTAAGATCGTAAGCACTGTTGCAGTTTCACTAAGCAACCTGTAAGTTATTAATCTCAATTGTGGTTGGTAAAACAAGGACTACCTATATAGTCAATGGATTGATTGGTAGAGGGATTTAGGATAAGCACCCAGATAGCTTATTTGTGTAGGTTTCACATAAGCTGTATGACCTATTTATTCATCTATCTGCTTCACTTGGTTTTATTATTTAGATATTGCTTAAATACCAAACTGGATTTACAGAATATAAAATTATAACTTGGAATCGTGCTTCTTGTATAAAACAAAGGATAGTGATAATAATGATTTGCATAATCTATACTTACTTTGAAACCACGTTGTTACAGTTATCGCAACTTTCTATTTCTGAAGCCCATGTTATATATTTGCAGGTATTTAAGTATATCTTTTGCTTCCTTCTTCCAGAATGCATTCATTGGAAACCTCAGGATCTGTCCACTAAGGAAATAAGTGATTTAAAAAATTCAACATTTTTCAACCTTGAGTTCTATAGGTAACATGCAGTTTTTAAAGCACAGTTTCTGTTTCCTTAGAAAAAAGAAAATGTTGTAATGGCTTCTCTTTTTCCAGGCTCATACAGGTTGAAATTTATTTTAAACTAAAAGGCATTGATCTGCAGTCTATTCATACTCGTGAGCTGCCGGACTGTTACGAATTTGAAAATACTGTGAGCAATTTTTTATTATTTCACCCATAGAAAGTATCTTTTACTCTTCAACCTCTTTTTATGTTGGCAATTCTTATACATTAGTTTAATGCAGGTTGTCCTAGATTTATGACTGGTCACAATCATTGTTTGAAGTTTCAATGGATCTATGGGGGGAGGGGGTACTTCAAATCTAGATTCAAAGTTCTGACAGTCAGCCCCCCTTCCACAGTTACACAATTGAACTTTAGGTTCTCTGCAATGGGGCTGCATTTACAGCCATTTGAAGCACCCCGTGACCCCATGACTGCATTTTATGACATTTTTGCTGAAAATGGGCATTTACTTTCAGTTTTTGGCAAAACCACACCCATAGCCAACCATTTTTTTGCTCACCAACCACCGTAAAAAAGTTCATAAAATCAGGTGAGTCATGACTGATCTTTATTACAACCATCATGAATTATAACCGATGGACAGACTCCATTACCGTCGTAACTTGAGGACTACCTTACCATGTATCTCTTGTACATTAGCGTAATATACTGTAGTGGGCAATACACTGGCCTATGAAGAAACTTTGTTTACCAGCCAAAGTTTTTTTATATATATAATGCATCTGTGTGTAATATTTCATAAATATTTTTAATAGGAAAATTAGCAGTGATTATTGTTTAAACAACTTCCGATACTAAGTTGTTCAATTTCTCTATAAGGCACTTACACAGCTTTGTTCTTCAGTGGATTGAAACAAGTAAGCTGCTGGATGTTTTAGTCTTTGGGTTGAAATTGAAATAAATTAAATAGTTGAGGCAAACTAGGTAAATTGCTACCTTTTAGTGAAATTAACAAGATGCATAAACTACATTGTCAAGGTACTTTCTGGAGAAATACTGCTTTGATACCAATGAATACATTTAGAGATTTGGAGCTTTAAAAAAAACTTATATAGGATGTTCTATACAAAGCCAGTTTGGTGTAGTGGTTAAAGCACCAGCCTAGAAGCTGGGAAACTATGTTCTAGTCCTGTCTTAGGCACAAAGCCGGTGAGTGACCTTGATTCAATCACTGTCTCAACCCTGGGAATGTATAGCACCATTCAAACCCAATTTTGAAATGTCGCCAAGATAATCATTCCAAAAAACTGGAATTCTCCAGGCAATTACCAGGAGTCAAAAATGACTCAAAAGCATGCACACCCAAAAAGAGTGTTCCATATGATCTAAAGTACATATCCATTCTAGGGTGTAAATATATATATATATATATATATATAAGATTTTTTTACAACCCCTGGTAAGCCCCAATTATGGGAGGAAGCTAACTGCTTCCATCATCTGTCTATCGGCTCGTCACAAGAGTCCATCACGACAGAAACCCAATATTTTTACTGTTGCCTTTGTTATATTTGTGTTTTTTTATTTGTGCTGATAAATAAATAAATAAATAAATAAATAAATAAATAAATAAATAAATAAATAAATAAATAAATAAATA